TGCCCCCTTTGGCCCCACCCCCTTTTTAAATGTTTTTTACATTTCCTGAGAGGGAGGCCAAATAACGTACAATTAAAAACCCAAGCGCGTCCTCTGCGCCCCAAAGCCCATCCTAAAACCCTGGGGCCCCCTGTTGCGCTCCCGCCCTGCCAGGCACAGGGGATGGGGTGTAGAGCAGTGGCACCCCAACCCGCCAGTAGCGGGCAATCGGAGCGCGGTTTAGTGCGGCGAGGAGGTATTGTAACTCCGTCGAAGACACACTGTCCACCCAAAGTGTGGAAGAGACTCACGTTTGGAAAATGAATCTAGGCCCGTGGATTAGTAGGATTTCAAACCACCATTATCCTGACACAACTGACAAATCCGCCCATGAATCATGGCCCCAAAACAATGTGCCCACTATCAGGTCTCCTAACTCTGCTGGTGTGTTCCATCTTTTTGCTCACATAGGAGTTTGGCAGATAACGGGCCTCCCATAGCGCTGCCAGGCCCCTAATTATGCCATGGGCCCCTGTAACCGCCTCCTCATGCTGCTGCCAGGTCCAGAGTCTCTCATGGGTCCCTGTACGGCCTCCCATTGCTGCTGTCTCCATCGCCACACTCTGCCATGTGCCTACTTTCAGGTCTCCTCACACTGCTGGTGTGTTCCATTTTTTGTCATAGGGTGCTGGCAGATTACGGGCCTCCCCATAGCTGCTGCCAGGCCCCTAATCTGCCATGGGCCCCTATATACCGCCTCCTCATGCTGCTGCCAAGGTCCAGAGTCTCTCATGGGTCCCTGTACGGCCTCCCATTGCTGCTGTCTCCATCGCCACACTCTGCCATGTGCCACTTTCAGGTCCTCCTCACACTGCTTGGTGTGTTCCATTTTTTGTCATAGGGTGCTGGCAGATTACGGCCTCCCAAATATAGCTGCTGCCAGGCCCCTAATCTGCCATGGGCCCCACTGTACCGACTCCTCATGCTGCTGCCAGGTCCAAACGTAATCTGTTCATGGGGGCTCTGTTGTCGCTTTGTTGGCATATGCCGCTGGTTCATGAATCTCCTCAACACTCTGCTACTCCACTTTCGGATTCCGTCAGCAGTCTTTCTGGAATCCATTTATGGGGCAGTCACCAACAGTTTTGACCGAGCACAGCACCTGATAATGCAGAAGCCCCATGAACGTCCCCGTCCACTCATCATGCTGCTGCCAGGCTCGATAATTCTGTCATAGCGCCCCTGTACCCCGCAGCGCTCAAGTGATGTCATGCCCTGCCTACGCCAGGTTGCCAGACCCGTGTGTCCATGGTCCCCCTCCAACTCCTCCTGAGCACGCTGCTGCCAGGCCCTCGTAATCTGTCATGGGCCCCTGTACCACCGCCTCCCACATGCTGCTGCCAGGTCCAGATAGTGTGTCATGGGTCCCTGTACGGCCTCCCATTTGCGCTGCTGCCAGGCCCGTAAATCTGCCATGGGCCCCCCATACCGACTCCCATCCTCATGCTGCTGCCAGGCCCGTAATACACTGCCATGGGCCCCTGTACCGCCTCCTCATGCTGCTGCCTAGGTCCAGAGTGTGTCATGGGTCCCTGTACGGCCTCCCATTGCTGCGTCTCTATCGCCACACTCTTCCATGTGCCACTTTCAGGTCTCCTCACACTGCACTGCGGTGGTTTCCATTTTGTCATAGGGTGCTGTATGGCCTCCCATTGCTGCTGCCTCCACCGCCACACTGTGGCTACCACACTCTGGTTTTGGCCCCCGTGACTGCCCAAATGAGTGAAGTATGCGTGATTCTAAATCGACGGCACTCATCTGCATGTCATACTGAACTGACAGTATTATTTCTACCATCTTCCCCAACAGACTCCAACAAGCCAATTTAAATTAAAAGGTACAGTGTTCAGCACTAATTATCTCAGTCTCCCAAAATTCCTCCCCCAAAACACCCCCCAAACCTAAAAAAACACAAAAAAAAACTCTCCCTACCCCCCACCATAAAAACCCCCATATTCAAATATCCATTTCTGGGCTTTTTTGACGCCGTGTTGACACCTTTTACACCCCCCGAGCAGTTTGTGAAAGGTGTAAACATTTTAAGGGGCACAGGCCCAAAAACTGACATAAAATGTCTTTGCACCTTCTTTACCTATTGCAGTTTCTTTTTTTTACCAAGGAATGACAAGAGGGATAAATAATCACTTGATTTCAGCTTTAAATACAAAAGAAAATGGCTGGGAAACTGCAGTCTTCTGTAAACAGAAGTGATGTCGTCTATGTGACGTGACCAAAACGGGAAGTAGCCCTATGTGACGTGACCAAAACGGGAAGTAGCCTTTAAACAAACACATTTTTTCTTGATGTTTTGGAGTGTTAAGCCTTGGCGCATCCATTTTTGAGATGCCTACGCCTGTCTTGACACCTCTTCTGCCACCTTGAGCAGTTGGTAAAAGGTTTAAAAGTTCAAAGGGGCACACCCCGAAAAACTGCCAAAGATTGTTTTGCATCTTTTTTACCAATTGCAGCTTCTGTTTACCAAGGAATGAAGAGAGGGATGAAATATCACTTGATTTACGCTATAAACGGACAAGAAATTGGCTAGGAAACAGCTATATCCTGAAAGTGGAAGTGATGTCGTCAACGTGACGTGACCAAAACAGGGAAGTGGCCCTTAAACCCTTTTTTCATGACTTTTTGTGTTTTAAAGCCTCTTTGCATCCATTTTGGGCTTTTTTGAACCCGTTTTGACACCTTTTACACCCCCCCCCCAGTTTGTGAAAGGTGTAAAATTTTAAGGGGCACAGGCCCAAAAAAACAAAAATGTCTTTGCACCTTCTTTACCCATTGCAGTTTCTTTTTACCAAGGAATGACAAGAGGGATAAATAATCACTTGATTTCAGCTTTTAAATACAAAAAATTAGCTGGGAAAACTGCAGTCTTCTGTAAAAGAAGTGATGTCGTCTATGTGACGTGACCAAAACGGGAAGTAGCCTTTCGAAACACATTTTTTCTTGATGTTTTGGAGTGTTTTAGCCTTGGCGCATCCATTTTTGAGATGCCTAAGCCCGTTTTTGACACACCTCTTCTGCCACCTTGAGCAGTTGGTAAAAGGTTTAAAAGTTCAAAGGGGCACACCCCGAAAAACTGCCAAAATTGTTTTGCATCTTTTTTTTTTACCAATTGCAGCTTCTGTTTACCAAGGAATGAAGAGAGTGACGAAATATCACTTGATTTAAGCTTTAAACAGACAAGGAACCGGCAAGGAAACAGCTATATCCTGAAAGTGGAAGTGATGTCGTCAACGTGACGTGACCAAAACGGGAAGTGGCCCTTAAACCCTTTTTTCCATGACTTTTGGTGTTTTATGCCTCTTTGCATCCATTTTGGGCTTTTTTGACGCCGTGTTGACACCTTTTACACCCCCCCGAGCAGTTTGTGAAAGGTGTAAACATTTTAAGGGGCACAGGCCCAAAAACTGACATAAAATGTCTTTGCACCTTCTTTACCTATTGCAGTTTCTTTTTACCAAGGAATGACAAGAGGGATAAATAATCACTTGATTTCAGCTTTAAATACAAAAGAAAATGGCTGGGAAACTGCAGTCTTCTGTAAACAGAAGTGATGTCGTCTATGTGACGTGACCAAAACGGGAAGTAGCCTTTAAACACATTTTTTCTTGATGTTTTGGAGTGTTAAGCCTTGGCGCATCCATTTTTGAGATGCCTACGCCTGTCTTGACACCTCTTCTGCCACCTTGAGCAGTTGGTAAAAGGTTTAAAAGTTCAAAGGGGCACACCCCGAAAAACTGCCAAAGATTGTTTTGCATCTTTTTACCAATTGCAGCTTCTGTTTACCAAGGAATGAAGAGAGGGATGAAAATATCACTTGATTTACGCTATAAAACGGACAAGAAACCGGCTAGGAAACAGCTATATCCTGAAAGTGGAAGTGATGTCGTCAACGTGACGTGACCAAAACGGAAGTGGCCCTTAAACCCTTTTTTCGCCATGACTTTTGGTGTTTTATGCCTCTTTGCATCCATTTTGGGCTTTTTTGACGCCGTGTTGACACACCTTTTACACCCCCCCGAGCAGTTTGTGAAAGGTGTAAACATTTTAAGGGGCACAGGCCCAAAAACTGACATAAAATGTCTTTGCACCTTCTTTACCTATTGCAGTTTCTTTTTACCAAGGAATGACAAGAGGGATAAATAATCACTTGATTTCAGCTTTTTAATACAAAAGAAAATGGCTGGGAAACTGCTGTAAACAGTCTTCTGTAAACAAAAGTGAGGAAAACATCCATCTTCTGAAAACATGGATCTCATGTGACGTGACCAAAACGGGAAGTAGCCTTTCGAAACATTTTTTTTTTGATGTTTTTTGGAGTGTTTAAGCCTTGGCGCATCCATTTTTGAGATGCCTACGCCTGTCTTGACACCTCTTTCTGCCACCTTGAGCAGTTGGTAAAAGGTTTAAAAAAAGTTCAAAGGGGCACACCCCGAAAAAAACTGCCAAAATTTGTTTTGCATTTTTTTTTTTACCAATTGCAGCTTCTGTTTACCAAGGAATGAAGAGAGTGATGAAATATCACTTGATTTTAAGCTTTAAACAGACAAGGAAATTGGCAAGGAAACAGCTATATCCTGAAAGTGGAAGTGATGTCGTCAACGTGACGTGACCAAAAACGGGAAGGCCCTTAAACCCTTTTTTCCATGACTTTTTGGTTTTAAGCCTTGTTTGCATCCATTTTGGTTGTTTTATGCCTTTTCTTTGGTTTAAAATTTCAAAGGGGCACACCGCCCAAAAACTGACAAAAATGTCCATTTGTTGCTTTGACGCTTTTTTTGACGCCGTGTTGACACCTTTTACACCCCCCCCCCAGCAGTTTGTGAAAGGTGTAAACATTTTAAGGGGCACACAGGCCCAAAAACTGACATAAAATGTCTTTGCACCTTCTTTACCTATTGCAGTTTCTTTTTTTACCAAGGAATGACAAGAGGGATAAATAATCACTTGATTTCAGCTTTAAATACAAAAGAAAATGGCTGGGAAAACTGCAGTCTTCTGTAAACAGAAGTGATGTCGTCTATGTGACGTGACCAAAACGGGAAGTAGCCTTTAAAACATTTTTTTTCTTGATGTTTTTGAGTGTTAAGCCTTGGCGCATCCATTTTTTGAGATGCCTACGCCTGTCTTGACACCTCTTCTGCCACCTTGAGCAGTTGGTAAAAGGTTTAAAAGTTCAAAGGGGCACACCCCGAAAAACTGCCAAAGATTGTTTTTTTCTTTTTACCAATTGCAGCTTTTTTACCAAATGAAGAGAGGGATGAAATAATATCACTTTTTAAGCTTTAAACACATTACTGACCAACTTGAAGAGAGAGTGACGAAATATCACTTGATTTAAGCTTTAAACAGACAAGGAATTGGCAAGGAAAAGCAGCTATATCCTGAAAGTGGAAGTGATGTCGTCAACGTGACGTGACCAAAACGGGAAGTGGCCCTTAAACCCTTTTTCGCCATGACTTTTTTGGTGTTTTATGCCTCTTTGCATCCATTTCTGGGCTTTTTTGACGCCGTGTTGACACCTTTTACACCCCCCCCGAGCAGTTTGTGAAAGGTGTAAACATTTTAAGGGGCACAGGCCCAAAAACTGACATAAAATGTCTTTGCACCTTCTTTACCTATTGCAGTTTCTTTTTACCAAGGAATGACAAGAGGGATAAATAATCACTTGATTTCAGCTTTAAATACAAAAGAAAATGGCTGGGAAACTGCAGTCTTCTGTAAACAGAAGTGATGTCGTCTATGTGACGTGACCAAAACGGGAAGTAGCCTTTAAACACACATTTTTTCTTGATGTTTTGGAGTGTTTAAGCCTTGGCGCATCCATTTTTGAGATGCCTACGCCTGTCTTGACACCTCTTCTGCCACCTTGAGCAGTTGGTAAAAGGTTTAAAAGTTCAAAGGGGCACACCCCGAAAAACTGCCAAAGATTGTTTTGCATCTTTTTACCAATTGCAGCTTCTGTTTACCAAGGAATGAAGAGAGGGATGAAATATCACTTGATTTACGCTATAAACGGACAAGAAATTGGCTAGGAAACAGCTATATCCTGAAAGTGGAAGTGATGTCGTCAATGGGACGTGACCAAAACAGGAAGTAGCCCTTAAACCCTTTTTTCAGGACTTTTTGGAGTTTTTTAGCCTTTTTGCATCCATTGTTGGGATTTGTGAACCCATTTTGACACCTTTTCTGCCACCCCCCGAGCAGTTGGTGAAAGGTTTAAAAAAAGTTCAAAGGGGCACACCGCAAAAAAAAAAGGCCCAAAAAATTGTTTGCATTCTTTTTTTTTCCCCTATTGCCGCTTTTCTTTTTACCAAGGAATCACTAGATGGATGAAGTATGATTCGATTTCAGATTTTAACGGGCAAGAAAAATAGCTGGAAAACATCATCTTCTGAAAACATGGGATGTCATCAATGTGACGTGACCAAACAGGCAGTGGCCTTTCGAACACACTTTTTTCTTGACTCTTTGCAGTTTTTAGCATCGTTGAATCCATTTTTGAGCTTTCTAAGCCCGTTTTTGACACATTTTCTGCCTCCTTGAGCAGTTGGTAAAAAAAAAAGGTTTAAAAGCTAAAAGGGGCACACCCCGAAAAACTGCCAAAAATTGTCTTGCATTTTTTTTTTTACTTATTGCAGCTTCTGTTTTACCAAGGAATGAAGAGAGTGACGAAATATCACTTGATTTAAGCTTTAAACAGACAAGGAACCGGCAAGGAAACAGCTATATCCTGAAAGTGGAAGTGATGTCGTCAACGTGACGTGACCAAAACGGGAAGTGGCCCTTAAACCCTTTTCGCCATGACTTTTTGGTGTTTTATGCCTCTTTGCATCCATTTCTGG